CAGCGCGTTATGACTACAAAATAGTCTACTCCATCCTTGAATCCACCTTCTTCTCAGACGTTTCTTTCGTGACGATCGACGAGGATGGCGAGCCCAGCCCATTCATGGTTCCTATGACGGCTTGCGCTGGGCAATACGACCCCTCAAATCCCCTTCCCGAAGACGATGGGGATGAGGAGCAGTACCGGAGGGAGCAAGAATTGTTCAATGAGAAGCCGTTTGATGTGTATCTTCATGGAAACTCGGCTATGCTTCTAAACAAGATGACGAAAGCCAATGGCTCTATCAAAGTCGTTATTTCGTCAACGAAAGGTGAGTGCTCTCAAATCTGAGATGGAAGGAGAGGGTAGCTGACGGGGGATAGTCAGCGGTATAGTACTCCACTTTGCACCCAACGGCCATTCCCTTAATTACCGCTCTTGCATAATTCACGGTGACGCCTATCTTGTAACCTCTCCTCAAGAAAAATTATACGCCTTGCACCGAATCACCAACCATATGGTTCGGCGGCGCTGGTCATCCACCAATCCGGTCGCCCCTGAAGCCATGAGGAGTGTCCAGATCATCAAAGTGGTGATCCGGACGGCGTCTGAAAAGTCGAGAGCTACAAATATTAACGGGCTGGAGAAGGGAGGTTTGGGAGAGAGACAGGACGTCTGGACGGGGGTGGTACCATTATATGAGGTGCTGGGAAGGCCGGTGGAGAGCGGGTTTACGCCGGGGAGAGTTGTGCAGGCGGGTATCAGGGGTTGGATTAATGGAAGAAATGAGGAAGAGAAACGATATGCGGAAACAGTTGCGCAGGTCCCGGTAGAGGAAGCGGCGAAGATTAAAGGGGTGATTTCTCTAGGTGTTTTCAAGTAGGAAGTAGAGGCTTTGGGACTGAATAATTGGGTCGATTAGACTGGAAGCGTTCAGGATGATGTATCATAGCATGAAGATCAAGCCTGGAAATAAGAAGCTTTCAATGCCATAAACATACCTCCGGAAATCCGGTGCATGATATCGAGACTTTGTAAAACACATATAATGTTGCGGAGATCAATACGCATTTAAATTACAGTAGGCTGATAGAATAATTAGAAGTAAAATGGGAACATAGATCATAGGGCATTGATTATAAATTTGTCCTTCCGCCATACTAGGTTATCATAACAAGTTCTCATGCTCACAAATTCCGCAAAGTGCTCCTTCTCAATAATCTATGATCTTCAAACGCTTCACCAGCTCCTCTGGTAATTCCTCTTTCTTTACCAGACCTAGGGTGACAACATCTCCCCAAAAGAACATTGCTCGGTCCTGGGCGTAAGCAAGGTAGTCAAACTCCTCTTCTTCCTCGTCCAATTTCTCGGCTTCCTTAGCCGAGTCTCCAGATTGTAAGGCTTCTGCTTCGAGACCTTCCGATCTCTTGTCAAGCTGTGGTGATGATTGCTCAACGACATTGGACTCGTCCTCTGCAATTGATGCAGGCTCTTCAGTGGTTTGGCCCAACTCACACTTTGCGGAATCAAGCCCGGGTACCTTGGCCTGCACAATTCCCCACGCTACCCATTGAGCTGAATTAGCAACCCGCCAAACGCGGACCTCCTTCAACAGCTCTGTAACTTGACGATCAACCTCCCTCTCTCGCTTTGCCTCTTCCTCCGTATAGGAGCCGTCCATAAGGTTCGTAGTGCTGCCGCCAGGAGTCCTTGAGTCTAAAAGAAAATCGGATATTGAGCTTTTAGAAGAACTCTCCATGGGCGAGAGCTTTGGTGTAGAAGATGCTCTGGCATTGAATTGTGGCCTATGATTGAGGTAGCTTCTGACAAACCGTCGCTGTTCCTCCAACGTCGGGTAACGCTTAGTGTTGCATGCCCAAGGTTTGAGAGCGTCATGGTAATTGTAGCACCATTCCGTAAAGTGGTTCGCGAACTCAAGACCAGGAGTGTTGCCAGAGGCGTACTCAAAATCGATAACCACCAATTGTTTGTGTGTATTTTGTGGCAGAAGCAGAGGAGACGGTGCCCGACCATCCGACGACTCTGGAACTAAGCGAAGTATGTTGCCATATTGCGTCTGTATTGCAGCATTAGTTCATGCCGGGGAATACCTGAACGGAAATACATACGTCGTTGTGAGCAAACACCAAATTCTGATTCACTCCTCCTTTCTCTCGGTAAAATTCATCTAGCCATTTGCGATAGTTATCAATGGCAGTTTTAAAGACCTTCCATTCAACACCGCAGATCAGACCACGGTGTCTCCAAGCCTCGCCAGCGCCGTCGACTCCGCTTGAAATTTCTTTATCAAGATAGGTAATGACTTCCTCGCATCTACTGACCCATTTATCCCAATTTTGCCAGATAAATGGTCCCTCTTCTATTTCACGGTCCAGAAGCTCAACACCATCATGCAATTCTCTCATACGCTTGGCAATTTGCTTGCTTGTATCTGGAATTCTCAAATCTTCGCTTGTGAGTGTCTGTGCATTGAAAAATTCTTCGAATCGGCCATTCGTGAAGGTCCCGAGGAGTCTAGGTCCAATTCTCTTTCGAGCAAGCCGACGCAGGATACTAAGCTCATTTTCTCGGTCGATAAGGTGTGCCACTTGTGGTCCATAGATACGAAGCAGCAGTTTGGGAGGTAGCTTGTGTTTGTGCGTGGAATTGGCTGCGGTCAGAGGAAGATCCTTTGGAGGGCTGACAACGTATACGGCGTTGGTGAGTGCTCCACTAAGTCGCTCTACTTCGATATCGCCTCCGTTCTCCAATGGCACCCTCCTCCAGCCCTTAAGTCGTAGCGTATGCGCAAGCTTGACGATCTCGTTCTTGAATGCCAACCAAGCTTTTCTCTCCTTCTCTGCACGCTTACTTGTGGCTAGCGTGACTGTCTCGTTCGCTGACTCTATTCCACCCCCGCTGTACGACATAGTCTTGGAGTTGTCTAGTACTACGTCGCACGACGGTACAATCACATCACCATCCTGGTATTCGGTGTCAGAGCTCGCTACTCCCAGTTTTCGAACAGATGACTTTCTCTTGCCACTACTATGCGATGATCTGCGCAAACTTGCAGAAGGCGAGGTTGAAGAGAACGATTCATGACCAAATTCAGCCTTGCTTTCCTCCAAAATCCTCTGCAACGTCTCAAATGATACTTCGCTACCGTCTGTACTTTGACTCAATGTTCTGGGTCTTGAAGCCAAGCTGCCCCCCTTATTTTCCACAGGTCTTCCCGAAGCATGGTGAGATTGATGGCCTTCTGCATGCCGGCTTTTCGATCTTCTTGCTGCGCGTTTAGCCTTCTCCCTCTGTAGCCATTCCGACACCTGCAGTAACAGTTTGTCGTGTTGGTGAACGCGGTGTTCGCGGTGTTTTTGCTCATGCCTGCCACCGTGTGAAGTCTCTGCTAGCCCTTCCAAGTTCTCAGTGCTCGCGAGCGACAGCCTTGACGATGAATTGGAATGCATGATAGGTCTCTTGGATCCGGTGCTGACAGGAAATCGTTTAATTCGTGTGCTATCTTCAGCCGGAGACGAGAGCGAGGATTCTTCTGGTTCAGCGATCGAGACGACTGTCAATAATTAGCAGGCGCTGTATGACTCTTCAATAACAGAGACAGTAGCGAAGGGTGAAGCAGGCAAGCTTGACTCCAAACTCCCCTGCCCCGCACCGAAGCTCACCTTTGGCAGGACCACTCGTTAGGCTGGCAGGTTCATCGGTATCTTGTGATCGAATCGACGGGCGCAATGGTAAGGGTGTGGACGAAGACATGGCGGAGATTGCTCAACGGCAGGATCCACTTGTCCGAATGGATTGAAATAGCACCTTTCTGTGCTAAAAGCGACTGTAAACACAGCGTATTGAGGATCTCTCGCTCTGGAATCACCGAGAATGGATATTATTGAGCAAGGACATAGATTCTCGCCTGGCGCAACTTCTTAGATAAATGCCAATCTGAATTGTGTCTTCTTGAATATACTAAAGATCTATCAACACACAACAGAGGTAACACAACGAGTGAATCAGCGTGTCCTTGCCTAGATACAAAGTATCTGAAAGAGAAATGCCATCAAGCCTACAGATAAGTTTGTTCCCAGATTCGGTTTTTCAGGGAAGTGCACATGTGCCAAGTAGCAAACGACATCAGTGCCCCTCTGCCTGCCAAGTCTTATGACGATGCACGCGCCCAACCACTGGAATATGAGTCGCCAAAGATTCATGCTTTCGTCCACACCGCAAGACAGTTTTATCTGTCCTTCCATTACAGGTTTCCTATCGCAAGCCTGATGAGCGCGTAAGCGGTCAACTACGCCCCGTTAAATGCACTTCCAAACCTAATTATATGCTAGTAAGGCATGGGATCAGTCATTGTATTTGCTCGCATGAATATTTTAGAGGTATTTGAATCAGAAAAGACGAACCAGCGTAACCATTTAACATGCTGAATATTAACTAGTAGCTGTGATTGCCTACATAGAGATTTCAACCTGGACATACAGTCAGGTTCGCAACAAATAAAGTTCACAATTATAAGTATTAAGTTTCTTTGTGGAGAGATGCATAATTTTATTGCTGAATAAGCACACACTACCATACGAAAAGAAAATAATAGCAGGGTGAATTTAGGTATTCATCTAATTTCATTAGAAATACCTCTGGGACATTGGCTATTATTTCTTTTCACGTTTGACTTGGTCATCTTAGTTTTTCTCGCTTATAACGAATTTCCCCCCCTCCCCAAAAGTAAGAGAATAAAACGGTGGTTTCTCCTATATCACGTCAAAACACATCACCAAAAAAGGTGCATTATCACATCCGCCACAATCAAGTCAAGTTTTATAGCGGCCGGTGCGGCTGAGAAGAAACAGAATTTCTTGGCTATTTGTATCAATCCACATAGCTGCATAATAAAAAGTGTAGGAGTCCACATATGCTCTATAAACCAACCCTGCTCGCAGCTTATCAAATGTAATACAGGGAGTGTTGGGGGAAAAAAAGCACCAAAAATGATGACATCTCCCCCGGATAGGATCGAACTATCAACCTCCAGATTGCTCATTTACTAACAGTCTGACCTATAGGTGTGATTTAGTGGAAAGTTATGCATTAGAAGTTCAAATTACTTACGCGCTAACCAGTTGTGCCACAGGGGAAATCTGACCGATTTGTTTACGAGGCTCGCTAAGCATATTAATACAGTCCAAAATCCACTTTCCTGGACGTTCAGACTTCTGCGCACTCAAGAGCCAGCTCTTCCAATCTGACAAAATAATCTCCCAATAATGTGCTCTGAATGCGGATCTAAACGTAATAGAAATGAGTTAATAATGGCAATCTGATTCCTTATCAATTCTAGCCTCGGCAACCACCCGAATGTCGTTTTGCTCTCCCTAAGCCTCTTTTTCTGTTTGGTTTCTTGTCCAATCCTTCCCTACTTCGGCAAGACCACACTAGGACCCGCCGATACACAGGCATGCATGTTTAGTGGTCGGCGGGTTGAATACTTGAAATTCCCAGAATAGGCACATACGTTGCGTCAGGTGTAAACACAACAGTTCTGAAGCAGGCATACCTCGATCTCGGTAAATTTTTATTGAAGAGCAGTCCATAATTGAATGACAACAACTTCTCGCTCATAGTTTCCCCTTTTGAGAAACCTTCGCTATCGCTGTCATCCCTCGGCGACTTGATCCAGATTAAGAATTGCGCTCCTTCCCACACTTATGAACCTCAAGATATGCTTCAATCAACTCTTCGGTCTTATATAAGGTTTATACGGCACGCTTACTTGAACAGCTGCAGCTGGAGTCTTTATGCGGAGTACAGTCCTGATAATATCTATACCTATATATATCTCTCTTTTTATCAACAAAATAGGTCATACTGGCCAGGGGCAGTGGGATGTATAGGATCCGAATTAAGCATACCATACCAGCAAAGCATAACAAGACGAGGTACAGGAAGGTATCTTTGTGGGCCGTGGTAAGTATTCGATAGGGGCAATGTGAGGACACTTAAAAGGAATAACGTCGTTCATTTGGGAGTCAACAGCATCTCGCTTCGCCAGCAAGGCCTTGAATCTCCATGAGAAAACTTACATGAAGATGTAAATTCTACTGACAGATAATCTGTGTTATTAGGAGCGTTGTAGGTGCCACGTATTCTAAAGCACGCGCTATGTAGACTCGTGGTTGTGTGGCACTGGGCCTATCACCGTCTTAATGGTACCTAACCTCTCTTTTGCATAATATATACCATCATAGATGCCTGTTGACCATCAGATTTGAAAATCTCCATTTTGGTAATATAGAGGTGGTCTATTCCAATATATCTTTTAGCAAATTCGGTTGCCTATCTTGGTGTCTCTTCTTCGAGAAGTACGCTCTACCTGGTTAGAGGCGAGTGTTTTGTATAAGCACCACACATAGCCGGCTGCTCTACTGGAGTAGAAGATATCCATATCCGTAATTGGGGCCATGCTAACATATTATTAAATCCCTCGCTGATAAAAAATTTCTTGTTCGTAAAGCCTAAAACTTGTCTAAGCCAGAAAGATGAGCCAAATTCGAGAGTTGCAGACCTGGATAATGGAAGTATATACTGGTGACACAAATTTCGATAACAAGGTGGTAGGGTTAAGCTACATAAGAAACTTTACCTTATCTATTTCTTACAAACAGTCTAGATTCTAATATTTTTCAAATTCACTTATTTTATATACGAATATTCATTCCCTGACATGGCACTATTGTGAGATATTGGGAAAGGTTCCAGTGAACGAATGTACAATCTAGCCTGCTCATTATGGGGATTACAACGCTATCAAAAACAAAACAAGGCAAGAACCTTTTCTCTTCCCGAATCCCTGCCTTGCAGATTTCCTCTCGCCCTCAGTGGAGACTGATCCAAGATAACAAAGGAAACCTGGGTTGACCTAGAATCTAATTTTGGTTGAGCCGGCGGAGCATCAGATAACTTTGAGACAACAGAGGCATCGTGGACGACGGTTTTAGTAAGTTACATCCTTTTAAAGGTACTGATCTTCAATAGTAACGTTACTTCAGAGACCGAGTGCCACAGATTATTTACCCAAGGTATGGTATCTTGGCATTGTTGTCTCTGGGGCAGAATGAACGTTAAACTATGATCATTCATTGAACTACAATTACGCGCGTTAAACATGATACTGGCTGAAGCGAATGCGGTACTGCTTACAAAATATTCGGGATCGCGAATGCAGCAAAACCTCTGTTCAATAAATGTTTCTTTAGTGACAATTCGGTAGAAATTCCGCTCTCGTCACTTACAAACTGCACCAGTGGAATGCAGCCACAACTTGCGGCTCAAGCAATCAGTGAAGAGAATATGCATTGGAAAACAGCGTCGTTTATTATATTGTCGAAGCTAGCCAGAATGTCTTATGACAGGAGAAGCAAACAGAAATCCTGCCAGACGAAGCCATGGAAGCAATGAAAGAGACAATTTCCTAAGCCGAACCTGACCAAAGAAATAATCTGGCCAAAGTTGTTAATTACAAGGATATAAAAGCTATCAATACCAATGCACGCTAATCCTGGATGGCGGTAATCCCCCACCCTCGCGGTAGTAATATTGCACTTTGTCGGCACTAGTCTTAACTTCTATCAATTTCTTTTCACCTACCGAAACACAAATACATTTTACAACAATGGCTCGTCAACTTACATTTGGAACACCTTCTTTGGGGATGAGCCTGACGGGATTTGAGGATGTTGAATCTGTGAAGAACCTACCCATTAAGCTCATAAAGCTCAGCACCAACCGCTTGGACACTGCTGCCAGATATCTACCGCTGAATCCAAGGCGTTCAGGGCAATTGCTAGGCAAATCAAAAGGGCTAATCAACAACTTCGACATCGATGCTAAGGCGTATACGAACATGCAGACAGACCACAGCGGAGATATAAGCAACTGAGCCTTGCAGGGATCGGTCAGCTCAAGCTTACAGCATCTTCAATGGCCCAAGGGAGTAGGCAGCTCTTGCAAGGATATTCTCTGTATATATCTATATATCGTGTCTGGCGATAGGTCCACTACAGCGGGACGTTTATAACATCCTGCCGGACGTCTTGGAGAAGGTCTTGAAGCTATGCGAGCGGAGTGGTGTCAAGGGTGAACTCAAAACTCTCGATGAAGAATTCTTGACTAGCAAACTGATCAACTACGAGCACGAGGGCGTTTGGTTTGGTAACAATGACCGCTTGGTAATGCTGTGCAGCGTCTCTTCGGCGCCAGCGATCTTCGTGATACTCTGAAGAAATTCGATACTGATGTCAAGGCACAAGGCTTGACGCTGGTACAGGTTACAATCTGATGGATCGTTCATCACTCAGCGCTGGGAGGCAACAATAGTACTATTCTTGGTGTAAGTATAAGGTAGGTCAGCTGGAGGCGACTGCGGCTTTCATCCGGAATGGCTCATTGCCTGCGGTATTATTAACACACACAGAAGCTATGTAAGGGGCTCTCAAGGAAACCCCTAGCGAGATTATTTAACTCGATGGGAATTTGCAGCACTCAGAGGATACTGCCAAAGTCAACGTTTTTGCTGGTCGAAAGCAACTCCACCGTTGGACGTGGCTTTCGCTTCTACAGGAGTTCCTTCCCATGAGAAATTTATACTTTAGCGGACCAAAGGCTCAACCTCATGATAAGGAGGCCTGTGTGCAGCGAGTGCTGGTCCTTCAGCAATCAGAATGTGACGAAGGATAAACCTAATTAGGTGACATCTTGCTGACCTGTGTGGCAAAGTACTGACTAGTATTGCGGGCGACAACTAGATTTAAACAGATTTGTGCGCAAGTCCATCCTATCAATAGTGCCTTAGGTAAGATATACTAAAGATCAATTACTAACCCAGAACTGGTAATCGGGTGTGCGACTTGATGCTTTACCTAATTGCTAGTTTGATGGAGTATTTTCAGCCCCCATTCATCATATGCATGGTTGCTTACCAACCCTGCATGGGAATACTTCTTCAGATTGGCTGTGTTCGCCACTTTATGCGCATCAATTAGCCTCTCCAGATCCATACAAAATAGCGTTGTTATGGGACATACTGTTATATGCGATCGCGCATATTAACTATTCGGCCAGCAGAAATGTCTACTCCTCGTGCGAGAAGAAAAGGAAAAGGAAAAGAAAAGGCTTCCTGCAAAGCATTCGAGTCGCAAACTTTTCACTTCTTTAACCTGAATACCGACGTGCTTAAACCCAATGAAGATGATCGGTCTATCATTCGAGAGGCAGTGAGTACGAGACTGATATCTCCTAGTCTATTTAGTAGTCTTTTGTGATTCCGGAGGGCTAAGTTTTGCATTGAGACTCTCATAATATTCCAAGAAGAATTACCAATTGATAACAGTGAATAATTTTCATCAGCGTGGAAGTCGAACACAACTTACAATATTTCTATTGAAAAGCAAGTCAGTGTGTACCCGCGCCAAGACCTAAATTTGCCGGATGAGTCTATGAGGACCTGTTGTGTAGATGGCAAAATAATGAGGCAAGATGGAATGATGATCTCCTCTTTGAGTCCCCGTATCAGCCTCAGAGCTAGAGGGAAAGCTAGATGCTAGACGGAATCCACGCCCTAGCGAGACTAGTGTCATAATATAAGACACGTCAATTCACAACACAACTAATTACCAAAGGGAATTCGCTGAAAAGATATTTCAAGGATAGGACCTCTTGGGGAATATTACCCTGGAAACAACGATGCTTAGTCCGCTCTCTGGCTTTCCTATAACCCCCATACCGCAAATACAGTTTTTTGTTCATAATTTCAGTGAGTAGGATCTACGCCTATCGATTGCAACTATACTGAGGATTTAAGTTAAAACCCAAGCTGAATCGTCAATGCTTTCGACGGCCGTGAGAATGTCATGGTTTCAAGCGAGTCTTCAGGATCCAGCGTATTATCATGCAGCTATAGGTAAGCTCTTGGCTTCGTGAAAGCTGACTCCCTAGTTCCTGGGCTTTCGTAAATATTGTAACTTCAAGGCTTCTGAAAACTCAGTTGGTTAGACATAGAAAAGACATGCAACGCCTTTGAGTATACCCTAAAGCTATGGGCATTCCTTTGACATATATTCTTACTGATCTTTGTATGCTT